TGATAGCGTCTTATACCAAGGATTTATAATAGTTTATGGAGAGAAATAATGTTATAATTGACACAAAATGTCATAGCCAAACGACGTAGTGTAAATGACAGCTGCTTGGAGACAAACTACGACTGGAGGGAATATTCCTTGTGGTAATTGTCGGGACAACGGATTGGCTGCAGCTATACTTTCTGCAGCTGGTCCAGTGATTAGCATGGCTTATTCAATTTGTTCAAGCGATCAGGATGTGTTGGAATCATACGTGGAATTGAAACTCTTAATGGAGCAGTCTAGGCGTGAAGTAGGTTAGTGCGAGTGGATAAACGGCTCAAGACAATGCGTGATTAAAAGAGTATAACAAAGAAGGATTAAAACAAAGGAGGTAAGAAAACAAAGGAATATCTAGTGTGGAGAGTGAGTGAGGTTGCCATGGGGACGAGGGGAGCGAGCATCATGGCGGCGGCAGGCCACCCTTCGACAATCTAATCAAAAATTGCTCCCTGGCTCCCCCAGACGATCGATACCAAAATGCAGCAGTACACCCGGTTTACGGGGCAGGGGTTGTTAAATGGGGCGACTGGCTGTGGGTAGACAAAGTATAGTGTAGGCCTACTGCAGACTGCAGGGCGACAGTACAAAGGGTTTCGCGAGGCCGGTCTGCGTCTGCAGTCATCTATCGTACTTTGCGTGTACATGAAAATAAGTTTTAGTATCATTGATGTTTTTACTTTCATACGTGTGTAAAGTCGATGTTTGATCAGAATACGATTTATAATTTAGGTACACATGTACGTCAAAGCGACCGTTTCAATTTCAACATTGTTTTAGTAAGTAAACACGAAAACAATGCTGGTGTAAATTCAGCAGCAACCACGCAATGTTTTTTTTATTGTAGTTCCACTTTTCCGCTCCAAAGCCAACTAATGCTTGGCAATACCCGCGTTCCTGTTGATTTAATTATCAACGAAAATGCCAATCTGATTACAATATATTTATCATCGCGTAAACGACGGATTGCTCTATTTAGGACTCCGATGTACCTTCATTTATTTTATTTTACCTTAAAAAAACAACGGTCAATAACCAATTTACAGTAGGCTATGATATTACATATGACGTATACAACTAACGTATTTTAACTGATTAATCAGCTATCGATGAATTTGATAGGCAATGAGTTTTTTAGTTATCAAGCTGTAATAGAAAACATATTAAATAGCCCAGTAATCCATCTTTCATCTAATACGTATAGATCGATGAGGTGACATGACATAATAGTTATCTTCTATCTTCGTACCTTAATGTAATGGTAGAATAATCAACACGATAATCGTCCGATTTCATACTCTGCGATTTATCATATTAAACATTCTCTCTTTTAGTCTCTATGTATGATCACATTCTCACGTTTTAGAAAAAATGTGCAGCGTCCTGTATAAAAACATAAACAAACATAACTTAGCCGGTTTCCTGTCTGCTTCTGGTACCTAACCGACCTAACCTAAATTTGTTTTTGAGTAATTAAGTTAGTTTCATGTTCAATTTAAAAGTTTAAAGGTTTTGACATTTTCTTGCCTTGTGTATCTTTCTTTAGATAAAAAATTGCGGTACTGTATTATAGTTTTCAAAGCCCAAGAACCATCAGAACACAAACAATTTTTACATGTTTAGTAGAAATAAAGTAAGTAAGGTTAGGATAGTTAACTTATTTTATTTTCATAATTACCATTATTTACATTGCTAAATAAATAGTGAAGTTCCCCTCTTTAATAATAGTGGTTATATGCCTAGTTGTTATAGAAAAAATAGGCCTGGCTCTAGTATAAGAGGTTTGTAATAAATTGGGTTGGAACCTGGAACCTTTCATCATTTGACTTACTGTAACTTATTGTTGAACTGTAGAAGGATACATTGGATAAAATGATAGATGGACTGTCCTAGTAAAAGATTTCTTGTGTTAAAAATGAGTCCGTTAACTTATGTGATATTAATCATTAATCATCAGACAAATTTACCCAAGTTAGCCTAAACTTAGCTTGTGTTTGAACAATCAAAACAATAAATCTTACATTTACTAAAGTACACAACAAACATTTTAACGTGATAAGTTATTACTTAACTTATGTAAATTTAAAACTTAAAATGCTACATACAACAAGTTTCAAAAAGTTATATGGTTGTTATGTTTATTTGAACCAGTGTTAGGTTAGGTTAACCTTACCTAACTAACCAAACGATAGGCTACCTATACTGTATTGAATTAAAAAATCGATTACTCGATAGGCCTATATAGATCGATATTTTCATTCGAATGAGTGTAGGACCTAAAGTAAAGTGCAGCCAGCTATATTCCTAGATTTAATACTTAGGCAGATGCTATATTGGTTCCTTGGAGAAAAAAAGACTACGTACTGTTTTTGGCACTTCTCAGTAACCAATAAGGCTTTGAATACAACTGTACACTACTTACCTAATTGTTAGTCAGAAATTTTTGAATTGTTAAATAATACTTATCGTTAGCATTTTTAAATGGTACTAGAGGACCCATGCTGCTCCGCAGCGTTAAAATAAATATCATATCCAAGAAGTACCGTAATCAAAATTATGATTTTTGATTGAGTAATACAGTATCTTGAACTTAATTTATTCAAACGATTAATAGGTAGCTCAAATTTAAGCATATAATTTACTGATTATTTTAATTCTAAAACGTATGAAAAAACGTAAACAATACTGGGACAATTTTTATGTTGGTTGTTCACCTTGTGTTTGCTTGAAACTTGTTCGATTTGAATAACTAATTGCTTAAATATAAGCCGGTTTTTACTGAAGTACCGGTTCAGTACTGAAGTACCGGCGGATTGGCTAAATACAAAGGTTCTTAGACCAAAATATATAGGATTATATCATTAACTGATGAAATCCATCTGCAATATTGGTTAGGCCTATAGACATATGGATTTTATTTATCAACTGTAATTAAGTAAGTGAATGGAAGATGAAACAGGGTTTGAAGGTGTAATGTGGCATGAGGTGAGCCAGCCGCGCATAAGCGAGCTGAGTCTTGAAAACTTAACTTGAGTGTAGGCTAGATCACTTTGTATTTAAATACACCCCCCACCTCCTCACAACATACTCCACTTCATCTGGCAACTACTGTACTAACTCTGTTAATTGAATTCATCAATGCCTTAGTGCCTAACAAACATTTTCACTTATAAAAATGTTTCAGTGTTTGGTTTCTCATTGGTCAGCTAAATTATTTAAATTTTGATTTTCAAATACGGGTAAAAGTTTTTAATTAAGACTGATGACGGTACTCTCCTGTTAAAGGGAACATTCATTATTTTCGATGATTTATTAAATCAATATTTTTGTTTTCCTTAAACGATTTATAATTATTCTGTTTTAATATCAAACGCATTTAAATTAAAAACTGACAACTGATCTTGTTTAGGCAAAAATTATTAATTTATATAGACAGACATGAAACTATTCAAAACTAGGCTAACCTAAAATAACTAACCAACCTTTCTATACCATTTAAAAATTGTGTTTTATAACAGAAAGGCATGTGGAGAATAGCAATATGAATTACCGCAATTATGTTATACTTGCAACACCATTTTATGTTATACCGTTGCAATTATGTTAGGTTAGGTTAATTTAGAACAGTTTCATTTCAATAAACATATATCTTTTAATTGTTCATGTTGATACTGAACAGTATTTTTTATCATAGTTGTCAGTTATTTAATTATTTAATATCCATATAAACTTATCATATTAAAAAATAAAATTTTGATACATCGAAAAATTCATAATCCCTTTAACAGGAAAGTACCCTGACTACCATATATATTGTTCCTCATCTTATTCAATTTGCTCAAAATAAATTTAAGTACGGTACAAGTATTGCCCCATATACTATGAAACACCCATATCTTTTACAATGCAAAATTATGCTATTTCCAAGAAAACTGTAACTTAGCCTATTGTAAAAATTTAAGTTTTAAGTTACCAAAAACAAAATGTTTTTTACAAAATAGGCTTTAAGTTATATTTGTGTAATACATGAGAAAATGATTAAAGATACATACAATTAAATGTCACATTATCAAAAACTAAACTGTTGAACTACACGTAAAATTTTTAAAAAATTCAATAAAAAAATACTGGTAACTTAATATAAAAAAATAACATTGGAAAATATTAATCCAGCCATATTATTTTTATTTTTCATATCTATTAATTACACCTTTACGTACTACAGTAACCTTATTTGAATACCAAGCATTATCCATCTACTTCTCTAGGCTACCTAATACCAGATTTAGTTAGTGTCTTCTTTCAAGTCTTTTTTAATGTGGGTATTTATGTTTAAATTAAGGCGAAGACTAGAACAATAAGAAAAACTAGATGAATGAATTATCAAGGATTGACTGAATCATATCAAAGCTGCTCCTATAGTTTACTGTAGTAAGCCACACGGGAGGTAGGCTATGGAAAGCTGGAACCTGGTGGTCATTAATATTAAAGTTTGCGTTGGATTCGCTGCCTTCCATCATCCATTTCTCAGTGATGTGTATCTAACTTTACCTCGTTTTTTTTACCAAACAATTTTTTAAAATAATATTTTTATTTTTCTCTTAATGGAGATATATATATATATATATTCAGTATATAATGTAATATATTCATGAATATAAAAAGTATGCCATATAAAGGCATTCAATCCTGTGCAAAAAACATACATGAGTGTTTATGTCAATTCTCCATCTTTTGGAAACCGCAGTTGCTGAAATCAATGTTTCTTCTTTAAACGGATTTATCTTTTGCTGTAAAAATATAATATGGCATTCGGTACAATACTGCAGCAAAAATCATTAACTGCCATGATGTTTTATAGTTGATGTCATGTATTTTTTTCAGTTGTTTGCTTTTAAATTCATCAATATTTTGAATGAATGGTTTAGCTGTTGACTAATATGGTTGTTCCTTTGTTGCAGGGATGACGTTGGACTGAAGATGGCCTCACCCACTCCATCTCTGGACTCACTTACTGGAGTAAACTCGCTTGGATCTCTGATTGATCAGAACGACTACCACTCGCTGAGCAACTCGCCTGCCACTGCTTCTCCTACAGCATCTGTAAGCAGCACCTTCAGTGGCAACGGAGCGCAGTACCTCACCAAGTGTTTCATATGCGATGACATTTACACCAATCCCAAGGTCTTGCATTGTTTTCACACATTTTGTAAAGATTGTATTGAGGGTAAACAGGAATATCCAAACAAAATAGTTTGCCCTCGCTGTCAAGTGGAAACCATTTTGGGCTCCAGAGGTGTTGCAGACCTTGTCCCGGACTTTTCTGTCAACAACATTATCGAACAACAAAGCCAGAACCCCAGCTTCTGTACGAGTTGCAAGAGTAGAACATTGTTTGCCATCTCTCGTTGTGTGGACTGCAAGAGCTACCTGTGTGAAAACTGTACAATGGCTCATCAATTCATGCACTGCTTTGAAGGACATCGAGTCCACAACCTCTCACAAACTGAAAATGGGGAGAAGGAAGATATCAAGACAGGGTTGGGCTTAACCAACGGCGAGAAGGAACAGGGTTGTCCTCGACACAAGACTTCAGTTTTGAAGTATTTTTGCAGAACTTGTAATGTTCCTGTCTGCAAAGAATGCACTCTTTTTGACCATCAGAGCCCAGTTCATGAATGTGAACTCATTTCAGAAGCTGGCCCCAAACAGATTGAGCTCATGACCCAAACCGTTCAAGAAGGGAAGAATAAGGCAACAGATCTCCGTAACATGGTAAAGACTTTAGAGCATACTGCACAGCGCCTCCAAGTTCAATATCATAAAGCTCAAAACGAGATCAACGATACCTTCCAGTTTTATCGGTCGATGCTTGAGGAGCGTAAACAGGACTTGCTGAAGGAATTGGACGGAGTTTTCAATGCAAAGCAGATGGGTATAAGTGTAATGGGTCAAAAAGCTCAAGACACCGTTGAGAAAATCTATCAAGTATGTGAATTCATTGAGCGTCTCGTGAAATGTTCAAGTGTAACTGAATGTCTTTTGTTCAAGAAGTTCATGGACTCCAGATTGCAAGCCCTAACTTGTTACACCCCGGATGCTTCCGTTCAACAAGCTTGTGACCTTGAATTTGTTTCGAACTACCAGGCTATACAAGTGGGTGTTAGAAATACCTTCGGCTATGTCAGGTCTAGTGCTGAAGTCATCGGTACCAGCAAGCAGCCTCCAATCGCCAGACCAACCGGCACAAACGGATCCATTACAATGAACGGTTCTTCGCCTGTTAACGGATGTCTAAACGGTGGATCCCTTCACTCTGCCGTCAATGGGGTTACTTTGAATGGAACGCTGAATGGAGTCCTAGAGCGACCATACTCGAACGGTCTTTCTTCATCCACTTCCAACTCTCAGTACGAATCCAACATAATATCAAAACGATTCAGCAGTGCCAACAGCTTGGGACCATTCAACACCTCCATCAGTGACCTGGGTTTGAACGGTATCAACCATTATGAAAAGTGGTCTAGTGGCGGAAGTGACATTTTCCAGAATGGTGGAAGTGAATACATGAGTACTCTTTCACTTAGCAGTCAGGGTGATCCAATGCTTGATCTCAGTTCCAAGTTCCTGTCATCCACCTCAATTTTCCCACCAAAATCTCAAATCAAACGTCAAAAAATGATTTATCATTGCAAGTTTGGTGAATTTGGTGTGCTCGAAGGCCAGTTTACAGAACCGAGTGGTGTGGCTGTCAATGCTCAAAACGATATTATTGTGGCAGACACAAACAATCATCGCATCCAGATATTCGATAAAGAAGGTAGATTTAAATTCCAGTTTGGAGAGTGTGGTAAACGAGACGGTCAACTTTTGTACCCGAACCGTGTCGCTGTTGTGAAGACCTCCGGCGACATAATTGTCACAGAAAGATCTCCAACCCATCAGATCCAGATATACAACCAATACGGTCAGTTTGTGCGCAAGTTTGGAGCCAACATTCTTCAACACCCTCGCGGTGTCACAGTGGACAACAAAGGACGTATCGTAGTGGTAGAATGCAAGGTTATGAGAGTCATAATCTTCGACCAGGCTGGAAACGTACTTCAGAAGTTCGGGTGCTCCAAACATCTTGAGTTTCCCAACGGAGTAGTTGTTAACGACAAGCAAGAGATCTTCATCAGTGACAACAGAGCACACTGTGTCAAAGTGTTTAACTACGAAGGGGTCTTCCTTCGTCAGATTGGCAGTGAAGGTGTTACAAACTATCCAATTGGAGTTGGAATAAATTCTGCTGGAGAGATCCTGATCGCTGACAACCACAACAACTTCAACTTGACCATCTTCACACAAGAAGGGCAGCTGGTCTCTGCTCTGGAGTCTAAAGTGAAACACGCTCAGTGCTTCGATGTTGCTCTGATGGATGACGGCTCAGTGGTGCTCGCCAGCAAAGACTATCGACTCTACATCTATCGCTATGTCCAGGTGCCCCCAATTGGCCTGTGAACAGTTACATATCTTTCATCGAAACCATTCCTAACACGTTGTTTATGCATTTATTGAATCGGGAATGGTACTCACTGTTAATGTTCCCGTGTTGGTTATGTTATTACGAGTCAAAATTGTTTCATCTTTCTAAGCAACCAAAACTTCTCTTCCCATGATAATAATTTATTGTAACTAGTTTTGTACTTGTTGGGTTGTAAGACATTCCGTGTTGGTGACACGGTTGTTTCTCGTCGGTTATCCGACTATTGTTGTTGTAAATACCGAACAACTGTTGTTTCCTGTGACCAAATAACTTTTAAGGCACTTCGTAATATAATCAACTAATTGTTTTTAACCGTTATTGACGAGACAGGTTTATTTCATTAATGTTAAGGTCGGAAGCAGCTGCTCCATCGCACTGTTTTCCCAGTAGATATATAGTGATTCTCCTTTTCCAAAATGATTTTAAATATTTTTACACGTGTGCTAACTCATGCTACTACCAGACTGTGAGGGAAACCGAAGGACTGCATTTTAATCTTTAATCTAGTTTTTATGTGTAAGTATAGTTTTAAAGTACGAGGTTGAAATTGCAAAATGTCTCGTTTTCTTAATTCGTTTAGTTTGATTACAAAAGATAAGCAATGATAGTTTTAATACATCACGAACGTGTGTGTTTGTATGTTTTCCTATTCTTTGTTAAACTGTCCCTTTGTTAAATGCCCGGCGACACCAACAATTGTTGAGCGGAACTTACGCACCCTAGTCACAAGTTAGTTGCGATGTCTGCAGGGAGGCTTTCCCGAACCGTTTTTTCACGGAACAAATTTTATAATATGTTTTGCTGTAATAAGTATTTTATTTTTAGTTCATTATTTCCTTTTGTTGTTATTTCTATTTATCGATACTAGTTAAGGGTTTTGCAAAGAGGATGTCAGATAGGCACTATATGTAGTTACTGCAGAAAAAATTTGTGTTTGTTTATTATTGTTGTTTAAAATTGTGTACTCACTCTTATCTACTACACTTTTTTACGTTTAGTTTGTAGTTAAGTTATACGGATCAGTATTCGAGTTATTGCAATTGTAAGTGAAACTAGAGTTTCTTTGAGCTGTTTATGTTTTAATTTTGTACGACTTGACGCCAAATTCTAGCCTTGGGTTTGCCTTGTGCCATCTTGGTTATTTCTTTCTTTGTTACTCAAAAGACCTATTCTGTTGTTTATAACATGAACATATTTGGTCTCAAAGCCTAAAGATAGAATTTTACAGATACAAATGTTCTTTTCAGTTCATTAGTAGGATTGATGCATGTATATTCTGAATGTTATTTATATTTTACTTTGATGATTATAGGCCAAAAATACCATTTGGCGATACTGCATTTAAAGTGTTTTTATATTGCATAGTTCTTGTTTCATGTTTTGTGTTAGCAAACATAAATTATTATTATTATTATGTAACTTGAGATTTTGTTTTCCAGTTATTATTTTGTTGTAAGATGTTTCAGTTTTTAATATATGATTACTTTTTCCTACTTAGTTCAAATTTTTTCTCCCCATTCAACTAACATAGGCTAGTCTATCTGACTCCTCACTAACATTACCTTCCTTAACTCTTAAGCAAATCTAGTCATTTTTGTTTGTTAGGAGTTCGTTTAAGTTTGCAAAATTTTTGTTTTGGAATGCCTTCGGACAGTTGATTCGCTGTGATTGTAATGCAAGTATTTGCCTTACGCTTTCAAATCTAAAACTGCATCTTGTTTTCATTATCCAATTAGTTATCCTCTTAGACAATAAGAATAACATATTTATCAAATCTTTCACAAATCCTAAATAATTTTCACATTTTAACTCTAGCTAATTGAACTCTAAAATACAGGGCAAACTTTTTATACATATAAACTATTTTATTACTCTTTTGGGCACAACATATACATAACTCAATGCTTTTAGTATTAGACTTTGGAAAGTATTGAGATTAGCATCGCCGTTTTTTGAACTACCTTGTAGTGTTTTGACGACTGGTGTTATATTCATTGCAATTGAGATTTAACATGTTTGTATCCTTCTCATTGAAAGAGTTTATTTTTTCACATTATAATACTTTGGATAGTGATTGCTTAGCGGATGTGTTGATGTTAGTTTAGTTTATGTTCTCTGTGTAGTCTTTATGCGGTTCCATCTGGAGTCCCTAAGGTAATCTTGACTTAAACCCTCTTTTAAACATCAAACTAATTGACTTTTGTAAATATTTTAGACGAGTTATTCGTTTAATCTCCGATCTTTTCTAATCAATGACTCCAGCTGTGAATTCGTATTGTGATGCTGCTTTTTCGATAATTGTTTATCAATTGAGCAAATAATAGATTTACATATTTGTTGTAGCATATTTTGTTGCATATTGTTGTATGACGCACAATATTGTACTGCTTCGGGTTTGGAACACCAGTGCCCTCATCATAGCTGCCCAATGCCCATTGCCCACCCTCTCCCTCTGCTGTCATGTTCTGTTGTGAAGCTCCCGTCATATCAAGACTCTGTAGTTCTAACTAACGCCAGCCAGATTCCATGTCAATTACACTAGGGAACACAATGTACTCTAGTTCTCCTAATGTTGGCTTTTGTGCTTGTAGCCTAGTTATTATGTCGTAAGGTCCAATTTTAATACTAACATAAGCTGTCACTAGGGACTTTGTTTGTACTCGATGTGTAGTCTGTTACGATTATAGAGTAAGAATGTTTTTGACCGTAACAAATATTTTTAAGGTAAAAGGAGTCCTATTTGTTGAGGTTAATGAACAAAAATTGTCAGTTTCGAGTTGTTAGATTTAATTAGTAATGTCGTGTTGCGCAACTCTAACAAATACGTTGTTGCATGTTTCCTCTCGATCTGTCGAGGGCTCTGTATACATAATGTTTGTTAGTAGTTTTGTTTCCTCCCTTCGGAGGTTACCTTAGAAATTTATGTCGAAAAACAAAGTCTGAGATTGTGAAGTTTGAACGATGAGATGTTTTAATTTTTTATCTCGACATCTTTATCGATAGTGCATGTATAGAATGGAAACACCAACCTTTATCCCGGTATTACCAAAATAGTTGTTGTTACCTAGAATTTCACTCTCTCACTTGTTATTTGCAGACAAAATCAATAGGCTTTCATTTTTCTCTAAACTTTCCTCAAATTTTTTACCAAGCCTCTAGGTTTTCCATACATCTCGATAACAAATCTGTGATTAATGAAATTGCCTTTCCCTCTCACTCATTCATTGTTATCACTGTTAGAGTCAGCAGTTCTGTAGCATAACCTTGTTGCTCACCTCCGCACATCATCACCGATTGTTGATTATTCATAATCCGATTTCTCCCTTTTTACACCGTAACATAAAAAAGATTATTTATCGTTAAACAAATTTCTGGATCAAAAAGTTTTGCTCAGTAATCTTATAACATCATTCCATCCACAAGAGGCAAAATTTAAATTCTTCCGTGTGAGAGATTGTACGCGCGTGGACCCGGTTCGTGCCTCCCTTGTTCGTACAATCTACCTCTCGTACTCTTCTAACTGTTGCCCTTCTAAGGGTTTGCTCGTTTAAATGTTAGTCTCACATATGTTATCGCATTTGTTATATCAACCGTTATAATTGACAACGCCAATTTTGAGATGTTTGAGCCCTTGTTGTCTTGTTCGCGTGGGGCTCATACACACACTTGTATTCTCTGTTCTATGTTTGTCGGTGGCCCCGAGTGAATGATGCTTTTCAACTCTCCGTGCGATGTAAATTTTGGCTTTCTATGTTATATAACATTAGGTTTACGACACTTTGTTCCTTTCGCGGGGTGCTGTTGCCGAGGGTTTAAATTTTTGGCTCGGCTTTTTATTGAACCGTCGCATGTCAATTTCCGAGTGGTTGTGGGATGAGGTGCTCAATGTCAAGATCGCTCACAGCTGAGGGGGTGGGATAAGAAGATGCTAGTCAGTCCAGACGTTCGCGTCCGTTATCCGCTTGTTAGGTTAGTCCGTGTTAATGCTATTTATATTTTATTTTCTGTACAGTTTGTTTTGCTCGTGTGTGTAAGTAGTTAGTATCGCTGTTGACGGGTTACGTCGCTCTTGCATTCCTCGTTTTGTGTAGTGTCGTAGTCTTCTGTAGGCCTAGTCGAGTTGATGTGTGGTAGATTATTTTTCTAACGCGGTTAGATCATTGCGAGTTAACGTCCCCTCCTTTGGATCTCCATTTTTCTTCCAAGTAGGTTTTTTAAGGAACTAACGGGGACCATCTTTCCTTTAGATGGTGGGCGTAGATCTATGTCTGTGTGCATGTGTGTGTGTGGTCCTTGTAAGGCCGTTACTCCGGTAGCGATACTTATCAAAGCTTTTTAACAAAATGTTGAACATTAAGGTGAAAGCCAATATTTTGTACTGCAAGTTATGATAATTGTCCTGCTAAAAAGTTTTTGTCAAGTTATCTTGTGTGACTTATATTTAAGAATTGTTACGAGTAGATTAGTACGTTGTCGGCGACATATCTATCTATTATAGAATATTTGTCTAAGATGGGAGTGACATGTTTGTTTATTGTATTGCCTAGATTTAACAGCCCAGCAACGATGATAAATGTTTAATTTGATTTTTTTAACTTCTTCCTACTTACTGGACTACTTTGTACTCGATTTGTAAAAGAGCAGGTAAAGGAAAATCCTGGGATGATTTTTGATTATCTGTTAACCTTGAACATATTTTTAGTATGATCACTTACTCTTTTTTTTATTCCCTGGTACAACTAATGTTATACTAAAAATTACTGTGTTACTAACAATTTTAACACTATATACTGAATAACTCCAAAATTGTGACCTTATTGATAACTATTACATTTTTTACTCATCATACACCACAAATCTTCTGGTACAATCTGTCCATAGAATCAAGTTAGACTTCTTCATGACTAGTTATTATTATTAAAATTGTAATCAATAAATAAATTATAAGCAAATATCTGTTGGGATTGTTAAGGTTACATTGCAATAATGTACAGTTAGTCGTTGCTGGGCGTCGCTTGTATTGTTAGCTAAGGTCCAACGTCCGGTTGTATTGGATGGCCTAACATCATCGTTGTGTCGGATATTCTCCGTTTGTTTGCTGTAGTATTGTTGGACGTTCGGCTCCTGTTCAGGCCATAATCATTGTTGATAAATTATTTTATGAAGTTTTGGATAAAATTATTTACACACAGAAAAAATTAGTTGGTTTTTAATATGTTGAGTAGTGAAAGAGCACAATTGTATTGTTTTAGGCCTATGCTTTCAGTAAAACTAATTTTAAGACTGATGTTTCTACTGAAATTACTATTTTTGCGACATTCTGCCCATGTTATGATATTAATGTTTTGTTTGTGAAATATTTCCGTGTGGAGATTTTAATGTGTTGACTAGTTGTGGCAATCCATTTGACAAAATAAAATAGTTGAGTCGTCAAATTGAGGGAGTTTCTTGGTAACAGGATCACTTTTTAAAATAAACATAATCTCTTCTTCTAGAATTCATCCAAGAAACTAATTATCTTTATTAGATTTAGTTCTGTACACTACATCGATTCAAAATTAAAACCTTATAATATTTGTTTTTTATCCAGATAGTGTTTTCTATCTCTGATCATTTTAAGTGACACACATGCATTCCTAACATTAATAAGAATAGATCTTAATACAAGTAGACTGTTAAGTAAGTAGTCAAGTGATTCCACCAATTTGTTATGCTTTAGTTGTCTTTGCTAGTTTTTGCTTGAAGACAATCATATTTCTTAGTGTTATCCATCTAGGAGATTTATTTTTGAACGAATATAGGTCTAAACTATGTGTACTTCATTGTTCTAAAGTAGGATAACGCAATAACTGGTAAGGGCAACAATGGCACCCTGGCAGAGCCCCATTCTCCTCCTTGTTTTCTGTTTATGACAATATGCTATTTGGGGACCAATTTTACTACTGATCAATATTTTGAAATAATAGGTTGCTATTTCAAATCTGGAGTTTCTCCCCCCAGTATGTAAATTTGCAGTAAATCAAAAAATGTATTTTAGTTTTTGTTAGCTTCTATCTACAACGACCTTCACTCCACTGCCACAGTCCGCAATGCTGGACTCTGGTAGAGCAGGGAAGGTCTTACCCTCTCTGGGACCAAAATCTGTTTTAGAATTCCTTCATCGATAAATGTGTCTAAATTATAATCTCAAGCGGGAAGACGGACACCCAGTCCTAGAAAACACGGGGGAGGAGGGTGGGACAGCTCCCAGTACCCGGTGATATTGTTACCAAGCTCCCGAGAATCTAAAACACGGTGTTTTCCGTTCACTCAATGAAAGGTACAAAATGGTTTTGTTAATATTTAAGTACAGTTATAAGCGAGTTTCGAATTTATTTTTTATAAAGTTGTTAATCTTGTGAATGCTAAAGGTTATTAATAGAATCCTATAATAATGTTTGTACGCATATCTAACTTGGTTTATAGTTAGTTTTTCTATTCTCGTTGGATGCCATCTGAACCGGTCATCATATGTCGCTGATGTTTGTCTTATCGAGTGTTTAAATATTGTTTCGTTGCTTGAATTTGGCTGCGTTGACAAAGAAATAAATTTCATTAAAACTAAGATCTTGTTATTTGTACCTCAGGAGCTGTCTATAGGATGGCATAGGTTTTTTTTATTTGTAAAAATAAAGCCTGGCATACATTGTACAGCTCAGCCAGTTTTATAGTTGTTAAGGTTATTTGAGGCAGTGACAATTTGGACTGTATATTATTGGTACAAAATAAATATTGTGTTTTAAAATTCAAATTTATTTATTTTCTAAATGATTTTTAGGTGTTAGAAACTATAAACACTGAAAAAAAAAACTAAAACAGGTATTGTGCTTTAAATCTGGAAGAAGTAATGGCAAATACATATTGAACTAAATAATATGTACAAAAAGACTGAAAATAAAAGCCCTACCAAATTTTGAAATAATCAATTCAACATAGTGACAACAAAAAGATAAGATTAACATATAAAATTATAAGTTATCATATAATCTGCAACTTAGCATATACTGTCTTAGACAAAGACAGTCTACTTATAAATTCAACATTGGGTGTGTGGGTGTACAAGTGAATGACCATTTAGTTAAAAAACATCATGTTCAGCTTCTTATATTGCCTAGTCTTATCGGAAATGGTCTTAAAAGTATCTTTGGGCTCATATTGGAATCTAAACTGTCACTATTCGAAAAAGAAAGTGGCAATCATCCTTTTGTAACACAAACAAAATCAAGTTTTCTAACCAGATTGTCTTCAAGCTTCCCACTATAGCGACTCATACAACAAATTTTGTTGTATTTGTTCTTTGTATTGGTTCTTTGATTATGATGGAAACTCGGGCGTCCATCAATTTGGGTTAGGGGGGCTTGAGCGTTAAACTGTGTCCTTTGAGACCACATGTTAACCAAATTTTTCTCAGATTGTGCAGTAAAAACGTAAAAGTAAAAATTTAAAAAAAAATGCAGAAAAACAATAAATTAACTAATCTACCTTTATGTACTTTAATTTAGTAAACAAAAAAAAAAACAATGTAACCTGTTACATTGTTACTGCACCTGTTACTGCAGGTTATCTCCTAGACTCCCCAACCCCACCTATGGAAAAGATGGATGTAAAAGTAAAGGTGTATGGATGAGTCGCAAAGATGTAGAGGTACAATTCTGTACTCATTTTAAGATCCAAATCTTCACCGAAAATTATTTAAACAACAGGTAACCGGTACCGGTAATTTACTGGATCACAACTTTGGGTATAACCTGTGGATTACCTACATTGAATGGATCAATTTTATTTAAAAGTTTTGAAAACATGTTTCTTGATGGAAACACAAAATCTCATCAGAAATCATAAAATCTCATCCATAATAAAATCACGCCATAACCAGAATTCGTCCATGGGTATAAGTTAAAATAGACAAACAGTGTGGTTATTTACTAGAACCTGTATTTTAAGAATCATTTACAGTTTCTTTGGTGAACAGATGTATAAGGTTTAAAGTATATCTGGAATAGTAAAATTTAATAAATTCTTTTCATTAGTAAAAACTATAATTTTGGAAAACTTTTTTTGAGTCAGCTTAAATTTGGCCAACTTGATGGTATGTTCATGTCCACTACATGAAGAATGTGTTTTGGCATCTACTATATCATATTATATTTCTTAACTTTTGTTTTAACCATTTAACCAAATACCAATGATAATTGACTTATTCCCTGCTATTAACTTGTGGTAAGCTACACAATAAAAAATACTCCAAAATTAGAGAAATATTGTCAACATCAATATCTTCAAGCGTTATTTGACAAGAAAGATTGGAATATGCTGCACCTTTACAACAGAACTCCAAAGTCAATGGCTGTAGACAAGAGAAGAATTCACAATTTGTAAGTTATTGAATCTCCTGTCCCATAAAATCATCTCCTCTGGCACAAGACTTTCAACAGAATAGTTTGAGGAGAAACAGAGGCAAAGGTACCTAATAGTTTTTGTATTTCATTTGAAAATACATTTATCAAATATAAACTCTCGGACCTGGCAATTCACTAATTACACCATGATTACATTGTTTTTTTTCTAAATCTCTAGCACTAAGATTAAATAGTTTATCCTAGAAACAGTTAATCAGTGGAGTAGTGGAGATAAAGGTGCCTTTCAACATACCAGACATAGTTTATAGTTATATACTATTCTTGATGCCTCAGCAGCAAGTTCAAGAGGTTTATCTGCCCTAAATATGAATAGTGGCAGTAGAACTTCTCTTATATACTTGGCAGATGGAGTGTTTATTAATTATTTCTATGGCTGTGAGCTAAAAAAACATGAAGGATTGCACATTCAGGGGGTCCTTGAGTTTGGGTCTGGAAAGTGCAAGAGGTATATTACAGATTCCCACTGTTAACATCTTAGACAGTTAAAGAAAAATTATGATTATAGGGTACTTCCAACCTCCAACCTTTGATTGCGTTCTTGTGGGCTGTAAATTGAGTTATTAGAAATGATTGTAATCTATATAATTAATACCTACATGAAACTTTGTCCGTTGAACTGCTCCGCCATTTCTAAACCGATTTTATCCATTGACGTCTCATTGGAAAGAGCGTGTCGAGTAGATTTGCAAACTGACCTTACATTTTAGCGAATTTCCCTATAGGGAAGTAAGCTATTACCATAGGTGGCATGGTAAGACCTAGACCCGGGACCGATTTCCTTTTTCATTTTGATGTCTCCAGAGGCCAAAAACACCATTCGTTAAAATTTTTATACATGTATATATATATATATATACATATGTGTCCGTGAACGCGATAACTTGAGTAATTTTTGTCCGATTTTGATGAAATTTGGTTTAAAGGTGTAAAGCAGGATAAACTTGAATGAGTTCTCGAACCAGCATGATCGGACTATGGGAATGGGGGTTTATGGGGGTTTTATGGGGTAAAAATAGGTTTTTCCCATTTTTGACCCTAAAAACACAAAATTTCACAATTACTTTCCAAACCATTATGTAGAGCTTAAAGAAACAAATAATTTAGTATATTGAAGCATTATTATGCGCCTAAGGGTTACAGAGAAAATTCAAAAAATTGTAATTTAAAATTCGCGATGTTGTTCTTATGGAGAATAAGTCAACTGTTGTAGTTTGCTTATTTATGAACATATTTTGATCAAATTTGGAAAATACATTAATTTCTTACTAAACTACAGTACCTATTAACATTTTACATTAAAAAACACTTTTTTACCCTCCCTGTTGCAGCAAACCTAAGTACTCGTTAAACTAGTTCTATTTAAATAGGGAATAAAAGTGATATATTTAAGTAGACATTTTAGTGTAAATCCAATGAGGCAAATGGAAATTCGCTAAGTCTGCAGGTTTGCTGCGGCGGGGGTATTTAAATAGTCCCTTGGGCTCTGCCCCAGTGGCTGTTAAAGTTCCCATGTTATCCTTATGAAGAACATAATTGTTTACATTTTGATCAGCTGTATAATTTAATTGCTGTTATTTATTTTTCAATTCAATGAAACACGGGTACAATTCCTGATTTTGTTGCAATTAAATATTTACAATTTTAATTTACATTCGTACATATTACAATGTAAAAAAACGAGAAAGCCTGGACAATTTGATATATTTTACCAAATAAGAAAAATGAATTGACATAGTACACTGTATTTCTTGAGAAATCTTTGAAAGAACCAATTTGTTAACCATGGAAACATAGCAAAGTCATAGAACGCCACCAAGTAGAAGAAACAGAGAAAAAAAAATACAATCGTTATCATAGTTGAAGTGCTACTATTTTGTAGGAAACACGGACTTAACTTTATGATGATTGGCAAAGGAAACCCCCCTAAGGCCGAATTAAACTGTTACGGCAAGGACATTAAATATATGTTTTCATAAAAGTCAAGTGATTTTAAAATAATATGACTACATCCAAGAAACCTTGATAAAACTTTCATTGAAGGATTCACAATATTCACATTTAAGGGAAACAAATCCATCTGAACAACATAAGGCCTTTCAATTCTGCATTTTTTCACGTAAATATAATTTACGTTATAACAGTAACTATCAACATGGACAACCTAATGCGGCTATAAGTGGGAAACATTTGTCGAATACACTAAAAACCAGATCAGCTTTTGGAAAATGATAAAATATTTACAAGAATTGTTTATTCGTAATCTATGAGTCTTTTAAACTCATGGGAAATTGTGACTTTTATTTGTCTTTAAATACGTTTTTTGTTTTTAAATTACTAGATACTTTACTTCTTTGCAATTGCTCGATTTCGAGCAACATGTACACTAGTTTTTATTATTTTGGCGTTGTTTACGCCAAGCCTGAGGGTTGGTTGGGCTATGGGCCCGAGCAACAATTGTGCCCTTTCACCCTACCTTGTGGGGGAATTTTCTCTTCTTTGCGCCCCAACAAGGCTAAAACTTCTTATGCCTCTGGGCCCAATTTTATTACAGAGGCCCTGATTTGCGCCATTGGCATTTTATGGTTTTTGTAAGGGAATGTTCCAAATCATGGTCTTGTTCCTGTCTCTTGATCTATACATTGCCTTTTTTTGTACATAGTATCACTAATTCACAGCCCATAATGACAAATAATGTAATTAACATTTGGGTCCAGTAAATATTTTGCTTGAAATCAAACAGGCGACTTCTTAGTTGAAGGCAAGCACTATTATAACACCTGGGCTACCCAGACAAATCATAGTTAATTGGTATTTCAATTTTGCTTTGCTTCATCAGTTAGAGTGAAAGAATGAATTCAATTGATTGTTAGGTCAAATTGAATAGTCAGCTCTATAGGTATTTGATATACTGTTAATTTATTAACAGCAAAGATCTGCTAATCTGAGGTAAAGTAAAGTATTAAAGGTAATCTTTGACTGTTAGTAGATGCATAAAGAAAGCATTCTGTAATTGAATTCTTAAAAAATTAAATAAAAAATAATTTAAAACAAACTAGCAGCTGTAGCGTCGACTTCAAAATCCGTTATCTATTTTATAGTTTTTTGCGTTTTTTGTTAACGCAACTCCTCCCTTATTTGTAGACCAATTTTAACGTTTAAGGTGTCAAAAGATTTGTCTCAAAATGTAGTTTTGCAATAAGGTTTTAGAATTTTAAAATTCCTACTCTTAAGGGCGTGAGACCTTCTCAAAGGTCGGGTTTTCCCCATAAGAAATACATGGAAGAAAAAAAGAAAAAAAAACAGCTGTTTATAATAAGAAACTCATTAGCTTTTTGGGAATTTATTTAATGAATACGCTACATGAAACTTTGACGGTTGAACTCCTCCGCCATTTCTTAACCGATTTCATCCATTGACATCTCATTGGAAAGAGCGTGTTGCGTAGATTTGCAAATTGACCTTACATTTTTGAAAAAGTCCCTTGGGCTCTGCCCCAGTGGCTGTTAAAGTTCCCATGTTATCCTTATGAAGAACATAATTGTTTACATTTTGATCAGCTGTAATCGCTGTTATTTATTTTTCAATTCAATGAAACACATTGGGCGCGTTCTGGGAACATGTACCGGTGCACCGATGCAGATTAACGGGTGACTTACTCACCGGTACCGCCCCGGGGCAAGAGTCTTGGTATCCCAGAACGGTTATGCACCGGTTTACGGTACACATTGAATTATAATTTACACATCCACCAACTATTTGCTTCATAATATTTAAATCAAACAAACAGACTTGCCCTCACGTAATAAATTATTTGAAAATTGTTAGTTTATTACGTGATATCAAATTGAATAAATTATTCACTCATTACGTAATATAACCTATAAAACTGATGAACATTATTCGATGGACCCGCCATCTTGCCTTAGCTGCAAGCTGTTGTCCAAGAAACTGACCAATCAGAGGCCGCCGCTGTATTATGCACCGTACAATTTCTCCGGTGCATAAATCTTGCACCGGTGGAGGAAAAAGAGGAAATAGCTGTCTGCTAGGTTAACTCACCGGTCTCCCAGAACGACACATTTTTTGCACCGGTGCGGCACCAGTGCACCGGTACATGTTCCCAGAACGCGCTCATTGTGTACATTTACTGATTTTGTTGAAATTTAATATTTACTGTTTTAATGTAAATTTTACATATTACAATGTAAAAAATCAAGAAAGCCTGGACAATTTGATACATTTTACCAAATAAGAAAAATGAATTGACATAGTACTGTATTTTTTGAGAAATCATTGAAAGAACCGATTTGTTAACCGTTGAAACATAGCAAACTCATAGAACGCCACCAAGTAGAAGAAATAGAGATTTGAAAAAGAAATTACTATCGTTATCAACCTATATAATGAAGAACACCTACAGCTACAATATGAATATTCCCACAAAAATGAACAAGGATGTTAGCCAAAGTGCTACTATTTTGTAGGAAACATGGACTTAACTTTACTGGCAAAGGAAATCCCTTTAAGTCTGAATTAAAGTGGTACGGCAAGGACATTAATCATTAAATATATGTTTTATAAAAGTCAAGTGATTTTAAAAGAATGCGACTACATCCAAGAAACCTTAATAAAACTTTCATTGAAGGATTCACATTATTCCCATTTAAGGGAAACAAAAAACCATCTGAACGACATTAGGCCTTTCAATTCTGCATTTTTTCAGGTAAGTATAATTTACCATATAACAACAGTAACTAGCCAAATGAATGCCAATTGATGCAAATAAAATTGCGACAGAGAGGTTATGCAGAAAATCAGGTAGTTCTTAGTCAAGTAAACAAAATGTTATCGCTATAAAAAATTGACTGAAATTTGTAAACGTACTGGTGACAATGGGTGGTACCATATGCAGACTACATTATCATTGACGAAGATCAACACAGACAACCTCATACGGCTATAAGTATGAAACATTTAAAAAACCAGATCAGCTTTTGAAAAATTATAAAATATTTACAAGAAATGTTGATTATATGGAACTGTTAGGTACGTAATCTATGAGTTGAGTTATTTAAACTCATCGGAAATTATGATGACTTTTATTTGTTTTTAAATAACTACTTTACTTCTTTGCAATTGCTCGATTTCGAGCAACGTGTTTACTAGTAAATATTAATGTTTGTAATATTCAGTAGGTTAAGACCAAGTTAAACAGTTAATCAGTTTTGTTGGAAGAACAGAAAATGCCTTAAGTTCAAAGAATAAATATTGGAAACGGGAGGAGGAGACAATTAATGCATATGAGGAGAGTAGATAATGAAAGGTCTGGTCTAACAGACACCCATCCAGATACACATTCACTTGGTGAGATGAATAATGTTTGCCAGTTCTGCTATGCAACTTACTTTGGAAGTGAAAAAATATATGAAGCACATAGTGTTGTCACGGTGGTAAAGTAAACTTGCCTAATGTCAGATAAAATGAATGCATGCAAGAAATGTTAACTTCTGACACTGACAGACCAGATATTTCAAAACATTTAGTACAAACTATATTAATGCCTTGACTATGATAAGTTCAAGTAGTAAGATTATACCAAATCTTGATGGACCTTATGTTTTTATTGTAAACTTTTGTATTACTCGCTCTACTTCAATTGAGAAAATATGCAAATGGATTGTTTACTTCTATTGTTGCCAGTTCCTCTAACAATTATATACAAAGTGTTTTTGACTGAATTCACCAACACAATCCAGACATTTCAAGTCAAAAATAAGAAGTTTCAAAAACTCATTTACTATTAAAAGTTTTAGTGCCAATATTAGACCAAACATAAGTGAAGGAATTTGTGTTTATGTATGCAACGATCGATTAGTTATGGTTGTCATATAATTCCTTTCTATCTGTACATTGTAACATCTGTTCAAATGTTTAGAAGTTGTTTTTGTTTACTATGATGTTAGTTTGTTTCATATTGTTAGTTCTATCATAGACTAAGCAACACAAGGTTCTATATCATGGTAGATTCTATGTTCAATAAAGCCTAACTAAAGGTAATTTCGTTTATAATGGTTTTATTTATTCAATCTACAACAATTTATTGAACATAGAAGATTTTATTAAAATATACATCAATCTTTTTTCATGGAACGGATACTCAGACCTGAAAGATTTAATGCCAATCCTAATGAAGTCAATGCAAGTCAAGATTGGAAACACTGGTTTCACACTTTTGAAAACCTTATTGAAACTAGTAAAATCAGTGAAGAATTGAGGCTTAAAGTATTAACCAATTTCATTTCACCATCCGTTTATGAATATGTAAATGACTGTGAAACATACAAACAAGCAATTGATGTGTTAAAAATGTTGTACTTGAAACCTGTCAATGAAATTTATGCACGTCATAAACTAAGAATCAGAAGACAAGAGTCTGGTGAGTGCATTGATACGTAGAATATCTGAAGCGACTTTCCAAAGATTGTAACTTTAAAGCTGTCAATGCTGTTTCAAGTAGAGATGAATATATCAGAGACACATTCATTGCTGGCTTGCTAGTACCTCACATTCGTCAACGGTTGTTGGAAAGCTCTACTTTGTCTTTAGATGAAGCAGTTTCTCAAGCCAGATCACTCGAACTTGCTAAATATCACTCTGAACAGTACAACTTAGACAAGTGCTTACCAACAATCAACGCTGCAGCCTCAAAACCTATCACTGAAAAGAATCCATACTTGTCCAGTCCTGATCCAACACCTTCTGCTGCCAAGCCAGAATCGTATCCATCTCAAGAAAATATAGCGTGTTCACTCAATCAGACATGTTACTTCTGCGGCTTTAAGAAACACAATAGAGCTGTTTGTCCAGCTAAAGAAGCTATATGCAGAGGATGCGGCATTAAAGGTCATTACCAAAAGGTATGTAGAAAATCCAAAACACCAACTTCTAGAGTAAAGGCATCAGTCCATCAGTCAAATTGTATTGCCTCAGTACCATCGTGTTTGAGTAAAGCTGTAGTCCCAGTACAATTAAATGGAGTCGATGCATACGCTCTTATAGATACTGGTAGTTCTGGTAGTTTTATCAATCAAAGCTCAGCACTTAGATTCAACATCCCTGTCATTCCATGTAATGGGGGAGAGGTATCAATGGCTTCCACAACTCTGCGTTCTTCAATAAAAGGGTACTGTAAAATCAATCTTAAATTACAAGATCATACTTACAAGAATGTGGTCTTCAGCGTACTTACAAACTTATGTTCTGACATTATTATAGGACATGACATTCTAAAAAGACACTCAAGTTTACAAGTACAATTTGGAGGAAAAGAGTCGCCCCTCAACATATGTAGTGTGGCTTTAGCTAATGTTGAGCCAGTAGAACTATTTCGTAATCTATCTCCAGATTGTAAGCCTATTGCAACAAAATCTCGAAGGCACTCAGCAATTGACGAACAGTTTATTGAAAGTGAAATTCAATTACTGTTAAAAGAGGGTACTATTGAAGAAAGCAGGTCTCCATGGAGAGCACAAGTCCTTGTTGTTTCATCAGATAACCACAAACGGAGAATGGTTGTCGATTATTCACAGACAATTAATCGTTTTACAGAACTTGATGCATTTCCACTCCCTAGGATTGATGACATAGTCAACAAAGTAGCTTCATACAAAGTTTATAGTTCTATTGATCTTAAGAGTGCCTATCATCAAATCCCAATAACAGAAAATGACAAACCTTACACGGCATTTGAAGCTTGCGGGAATTTGTACCAATTCACACGAGTGCCTTTTGGAGTTCGTAATGGTGTCCCTGCTTTTCAACGTACGTTAACCAACATAATCACTTATGAAAAACTTGAAGGTGTTCAGGTCTATCTGGATGATGTAACAATCTGTGGCAATGATCAGGCTGAACATGACAGGAACTTGAGCAATTTTATGAAAGCTGTTTCCAAATATAATCTTACCTTGAACAAACATAAATGCAAGTTTTCTACAGCCATGATCCATCTATTAGGTTATGTAATCTGTCATAAATCAATAAGACCAGATCCAGATCGTCTGCAACCACTTCGAGATCTTCCCATTCCAACCAACTCAAACTCTCTTCACAGAGCTCTTGGTATGTTCTCCCACTATTCACAATTCATTCCTAAATTTTCTGAGAAGGTGAGCTGTTTAAACAGAAGTTCATTTCAACTGAATGAAGAAGCTAAATGTGTATTCCAAAGACTTAAACAAGACATTGTTAATGCAGTAACTTCTTCGATTGACTGTGATGGGTTGTTAACAGTTGAAACTGATGCATCAAATCATGCAATAGGAGCAGCTTTGACTATTGATGGTAGACCCGTAGCGTTTTTCTCTAGAACACTTACTAACTCGGAACAGAAACATTCATCTATTGAGAAAGAAGCATATGCAATAGTTGAAGCGTTAAGAAAATGGAGGCACTATCTCATAGGCAGACACTTTCGCCTTATAACAGACCAACGATCTGTAGCATTCATGTTCAGTGATCGGAATGCAAGCAAAATCAAGAATGATAAAATAATGAGATGGAGAATTGAGTTATCCTGTTATAAGTATGAGATCATTTACAGAGCTGGAAAAGAGAACAAAACAGCAGATGCTTTATCCAGGGTGTGTTCATCGATGGAAGGAAGTTTATCAAACCTTGTATCACTACATGACGCTTTATGTCATCCAGGAGTGTCTCGAATGTATCATTGGACTCGGAGTAAAAACTTGCCTTATTCACTGGATGAGATCAGAAAAGTAACTTCCTCCTGTCGAACCTGCTTAGAGGTAAAACCTCGATTCCACAAACATGAAGGACAACTTATTAAAGCTACTCAACCATTCGAAAGACTGAATATAGATTTTAAAGGGCCACTTCCTTCCAAGAGTAGAAATCGTTATCTTTTAATAGTCGTAGATGAATACTCTCGATTTCCATTCGCGTTCCCTACTCAAGACACAGCTGCTAGGACTGTTATTCTGAGACTTAAGGAACTGTTCTCAATGTTTGGAGTACCGGCTTATATTCATTCTGACAGAGGTTCATGTTTTATGTCTCAAGAACTAAAATCATTTTTATGTTCACTAGGAGTTGCTACCAGTCGTACAACAGCTTACAATCCTCAGGGCAACGGACAAGCTGAGAGGTATGTTGGTATTATATGGAAGACAATCGAACTATCACTTAAAAGTAAAAATCTGGACATATCTGATTGGGAAAAAGTACATTTAGAAGCTTTGCACTCTATCCGGTCGTTATTGTGTACTTCAACAAATACAACACCGCATGAAAGACTATTTCTCTTTTCTAGAAGATCTAGTAATGGTAAGACAACTCCATCTTGGCTCATGAATCCAGGTCCAGTGCTCATGAAACGGCCTGTCAGGAGCTCGAAATACGAACCACTCGTTGAAGAAGTACTGCTCCTTGAGGGGAATCCTGAGTATTCTCACATAAGATATGCAGATGGCCGTGAAACTACAGTGAGTTCCAGGAAATTAGCACCTGTAGGAGAAGTGTCACATCATGAAGAAGACTCAAACTCCAATCTACGACATGAAGAAGACTCAAATCCCAATCTACGACATGAAGAAGACTCAAACACCAATTTACGACATGAAGAAGACTCAAACACCAATCTACAAATAAATGAAAGAAGTTCTCAAGTTGATGCTGGACCTGAGCCTATCTTCCAAGACGAGGAAAGACTGAATCAGGACCAGATTGCTCTAAGGAGAAGCTCCAGAAGTAAACACCCGCCTTTGTATCTAAAAGACTATGTCAGCTAGGAGGGGAAGAATGTCATATAATTCCTTTCTATCTGTAGGCCTACATTGTAACATCTGTTCAAATGTTTAGAAGTTGTTTTTGTTTACTATGATGTTAGTTTGTTTCATATTGTTAGTTCTATATCATGGTAGATTCTATGTTCAATAAAGCCTAACTAAAGGTAATTTCGTTTATAATGGTTTTATTCATTCAATCTACAACAATGGTCAAGTTTATTTTTATGATTTAGGAGAGGCTAAATAATAAACGCTGTTCAAAAGAGAAAATGAAAATTGCTATCCTATTTCGACAAATGAATCCATACTTTCAAAACTTTGGGACAGGTATTAAGAGAAACTCCACTGAACAACGTGAGAACGTTCTGATGCGGGGCATATACTGTGACTGATAGACAACACGTTAAAATACGTTAACCAACTTTCAATGGTGTTGCTGCTTTAGCCTATTCAAAGCATATTATGGCTGTCCAGTTGGTAACCCAGAGTTTGTGGGTAAAATCTGGAGCACATGAAATGGTAGATATCACCCCACTTTTCAGGATTCTCTACGGAGAAAATTTGTTTGCTTAGGCGAAGTCTCAAATCAAAGAAATAAAATATGACCCAACTTAAATTACTTAACACAGGTTGTTATCAGTAAGTTATCAGTAAGGCAACAGTTTGCTTCAATTCTCAATGCTCGAAAAACTTTGTTGCTACATGTTAACTCCAATTGAAACAGATTGTTTAGCATTCATTAGAAGTTATCAGTTAAAACTGAGAGCAGAAATAATCTAGGTGAGCCTTGACGGCGCAAATAGAGATATTTAAAATTAGTTCCTAACAAGTGTTTAAACAACTTTAAGATGTAACTAGAATTACTCGAATTTAAGCATAACGTATTCCTCCGCGTTATGTTTTATACTATATGCGGCTCATTGAGCCGCACGGGTTCTCTAGTATTCTAGTATATTTGAATTATTAAAAATTTTCTATTACTCTGAGTTAAGTTGAAAATGATCTATTTTTTACGTGATAATAATTAACTTATCACTGACTTGTAATTTGTTAACAAACTTTGTAATTAGTTTTTCCGATACAATATGAAATCATCCATAAAAAAGTTAACATGTCTAAAATATAAAGCATCACAAAACCTACATACTGTAGGCGAGAGTTAAGATGTCCTCTGAGTCCTGGCCTATTCTAAAAATGCAGGCGCTTGCTACTCGACGGCTAGGCGTGCCGGGCGGGATACTCATGTCCCACGCGGCAGTCAGGGCTCACATCCACTGCGTTAAAACCAAAAGAGCTCCTGCAAATACCGCGCGGCAACATACAAACATTGCTGCATATCACTCTGGCTCAGAGGACTTCTTAAGAGGCATCATCACCTTTGCTCTGTTTGCGATTTGGGGGGGGGGGATGACTTGGGTGGTAGATGAGGGTGAGCGGGGAGCGGTGCGGGGTCAGTATTCATGCCGTTCTAAAAACATCGTTATTTTAGCCGTCACCGCACGCGCACTGCCACGAGTCCGCGCAGTACCATCGCCCTGCCCTGCCTGGCGTCGGTCTTAGAATACTCTACTGTACATGTTCAAGAAACATGAAGAGAGTTTGTATATTATAAATGGTAGTGATACATTATTTTTAAATGCATTACTAATTTCATTGATATGATTCCATGTAATAAAAGTTTATATTCTCTGTTCTTTTATTCTTCTAAAATAAAAGAAAATAGTAAACAAATTTATTCCAATGGAACAAAACAGTACAGTACCACACCAGGATATTTTAAGGAGTTAACAACATAGCCACCATTTTGTTACTGAAGATATTTCTGTTAATTGTTTGCAGAGTTACAACACACACCCAATGATGGTAACAAACAATATTTCAATGTTTTATATGCTATATGTATGTAATACAAAAACTCTCTTTGTCATGACAATAATTATAATAATGCCTTTATCTTGGTAGTAAATTACAATACAGCAAATAACAATAATAAAAAAAATCAAAATGGCAAGTAAATTAATTTATGTACAGGTATTGAAATATATTCTAAGAAAAATTCAGTACAATAACATTTCACATATTATTGAATCCTAACGCATTTTACGGTAAGCTTGTATGAATACCATGATGTATATTTACAGATTAACGATTACCTAATTATAGTTACAAAATTAAACATACAACAACCAATAGTCAATACATTAATATAAATAGCTTATTCCCTATATGGGAAATTCGCTAAAAACAAATCGTAATGAATAAACTATACAATATCTGTTCCAATCACAGTAATGAAGGTTTCAAAACTAAATTAATCACTAAATTATTTTCAAAATTCAATGTTAAAAGTAATTTTTAGCACGTTTATTCAGGACGTCCCTAAGTTGTTGAATGTAATTTATTTTTCTGGTCTCGTTTTTGCTTCTGTTCTTTGATGGCAGCTTGTATATATACTGGGTTTCTTATTTCCATGGACCTGGGGTGACGGGGATCTACTAATTCTGGTAATATACAATCCACATAAAACCTTTTCAATTTCTCTTCCATCTGGTTTTGCCAAAAATCGTCATCCTTCATGATTTCTTCAATTTTTATTCCATGAGGTGTCCACAGGGCGAAGTAACATTTTTGTCGTTTTGATATGTGAAGTTGTCCCTGGATCTGATAAAAGAACTTGTGTTTCCTGTTTATTTCTATTTTGTCCTCATTGAAACTTAGGAAAGGGAACTTTGTCGATCTTATTGATTCTTCTGGGGTTAAGTTTTTGCATGACTCTGGACATTTAACCTCAACAATGCTATCATTCCCAATTAGACCGTCAGGACTGTCGCCTAAGTATTGGATGTTTTCGTCGATGAACAATCCGCACTTTTCAACAGTTACTCCCAATACTTCTTCAATTTTCGTTATGGCATTAAGTTCATTTTCTTTTCCATATCTTGACGCTGAACAATCAACATCACTATACAGTAGTGTCTTTACGAGGTTTCCACAGCGGGTCGCCGGAATTTTATCCCCCTGGAATTTTACCCCCTGGGCAGAGCTGACATCACTATGACGTAGTAGCCTGAGTGGCCAAAAGTTTATTAGTGGCCTACATTCGATTAGTTTATTGTAGACGTTTGAATCGCCATCAGCTAGGACGGTCCCGTAAATGGCCCCATACATTTCAATACTACTACAAAAACCTTCGAAAATAATGTCAGCTTCCTTGCTGGGTGAAGAACCTGTTAAGTTTTTGTAGCATGGATGCGGCGATGCAGGTAATCCTTTCTCAGTTGCACTGGCGCAGATAGTACAGTACTTATTGCGTACTCCAAGAAAAATCACCTTCTTTGAGTGTGCTCCAACGATGGCTGCCTGGAAAAAAATTCCAGGCAGCTATCGTTGGAGCTTTCAAGGCGTATCGTAATTTCCTTTCAAGGCGCCATTTCATCAGGCCAACGTTGACACATCTTTTCTTGCGTTTAGCACTCAAAAATAAGTTGCCTTTTTTCGAGACTCTTCCCATAATGCAGAAGAAACCCAAATAGACAGAAAAAATACGAAACGACGTAAACTGTTTACTGGCGAATGTTAGCAGTAGGATCGCACGATGCAGTAATCAAAGCCGGTAGCAGGACTACTAGCGCTAGATCACTAGATCAGGTGACGTGCAGGTGTAGCCGACGGCCAATGACTGCAGCGGCAGTGATGACTCACTGTAGGGCGTAGGCCTATCCACGCTGTTCCCAGAATTTGACAAAAATGTACGCAAAACACTCAACACTCTATATGATCCATGTAACCTCACATCACCATCACGACCCTCGCATGTCCACGATTACGATATCCATTGAACGCTGGACCTTAGGCATACGCTGAAATAAAGGACATATCTTGTTGAACAAGGTTTTTAAACATAAATAGGCCTACCCCGCCTCAGTAAACCTGCAGACTAAGTGAATTTCCATTTTCCTGATTGGATTTTCACTGAAATAGGAACCCTCTGGGGACCTCAAAAAAGTAAATCGGTCCCGGGTCGAGGTCTTACCACAAGACCTAAGACTTCCCTATTTGGAAAATTCATTTAAAAATGACCCCTTGGGGCTAAATAAACACCATTTACGTAAACACTATAGTAATTCTCAAATTTTCATTTTTTTATTGCACTAGCCGTGTACTCGTGCTTTGGTAAGTAAGTTTAGAGGAACTTGTTAACAAATTATAATTAACCGGGTTAATTTAACCCTATTATTTAAATTGTTATCCATTACTACTTTAATTTGACTAGGATATGCTGATTTATCTTAGACAATTTTGAGTTGTAACGAAACTAAAATAATAAAAAACGTAACAGACAAATAGACATTCAAATTTCATGGTTTTTTCAAGGTTGGTCTTGGTTTCAGCGTTATTTCAAACAATCATGTCAAACACAAAAATAAAATAAAATTATAACGAATATACAGACAACAGTTTAATTTAATTTTTCTCATTACCTTCCTACATTTGTTTTATTTCGATTTCCCATTTTAACAATATTTTCAAGGGACAATAGAGAATAGAGAATGAAACGGTAAAATTAATATGAACCACTCATTTTCATGTTAAGATTGTAGTTACTATCTTCCGTAATGACACAGTAAATAGACTCTATATATGTGTGTTATGGTAATGATGATAGTAATAGATTGGACTTCGACAGTAAGTTCTACTACCACAGTGAGCAGAGCGACCTTGCGTAGGTCAGAAGCAGATCGAGTTTTATAGGATGGCTAGTAGCGAGTTTACCGGTAGATTCAAGTGACGCTCAGGCTACAAAACATGCGTTCCTATTCTCCTGTTTTGGACGCTGTTTTTCACCCATTTTACATGAAATGTTTACCATTGTTTACAGAAAGGGCTGAATTTTTTTTCTATTAAAAGCAAATTACAACATTTAAACTTTATTACGGTCAAAATCGTTACCAAACTTTGGAAAAATTGACCTCAAAAATCTATGTAAAAAACTCTTATTTTCA